AATATTGAACTCATAGGTTTTCTTTGTTTCTTTCGCAACAAATAACACAGCAACACATCATCTTCTTCGAGTAACCTTTTTAGAAGCATTTTTGTACTCATTTTTCACAGAATATGTGCACGTATGTCTCAACAAAACAAAGAAAACAAACACTTTGCCGCATGTCTCGGTCGTCACCTCAAAAGTGTGTGGTGACAAGCTGCGATGTGTCCGTCTCCCGTCTCTGTCGCCTGCCTCGGTCGCTTGTCTCTGTCGCGTGCAGCCAAATTGTACCTTAAGAAGCAGCGAGTGGTACAAAATTTAACCGACATTCCACTGTGAATTCACTCGTTGTTTGTCATATTGTGATCATGTTACCTCAGTGGATACTAACGTAACTTCAGCAGCTGAAAATAAAACAGTAAACCTAAGAGACTTGATAACGCACCTTCCAGATCTCTGGACTTGGGGTACAAACCATTTGTGGCTTCTTTTCTGTAGATAATGACTATGGTTATTATTATTTGTTATTTATTTAGTGTTCTGTCTGACGACAGGTCCATATGAACAGGATCCTTCCATCCTTTTCTCGGACTGGGACCTGTTCATATACGTTCTTGGCAGATGATCCAGAAGTGGTTTGCCATTGCCTTCTTCTGTGTGTGAATGGAGTAATTGTTGGGATGCCACGGAGAAACCGGGGAAGCCCCCGGAGGAAAACTCCGTGTTGCCTAGACCACGGCCTTGCTGCCAGTAGCGACATTAAAGCCGATGAAATCTGTTTTATTAAGGTCGTATTATTTCTGTACTCAGGGGTTGTCCCATGAACAGTGACTGTTTGCACTTAATCTGCGGCAGGATTTCCTTCTTGATCGACCGACGGTAAAAGCCGAAGCTCACCGTCACCTGGCAACGGATGTGACGCACATGTGTTTGTTGCAGGGCGTCCAGTGGGCGTCGCGTAGGGCAGGGTAAGGCGGAGCCTGCTGTACAGAGTGATGCTGACAACAAGTCACTTCGGACCACCGCATCGCCTAGGTAGGCCTAATTGTCGGCATCTTCGTCCTCTTGCCTGCTGCAGTAGACAGTTCTTGGTCAGTCGTAAACTTCTTTCTAGTAGAATAAAAATTTTCTTGGATATTATCCATCGTCTAGTAAATATAAAACGTAAAACGACGTTTCGGAGATGGGATTAGCTCTATCTAGTGGGCCCAACTGTGTAGGAACCTGAAGACGGAGATAGAGTCCCATCTCCGAAACGTCGTTTTTACGTTGTTTTATATTTACTAGACGATGGATAATATCCAAGAAAATTTTTATTCAATTGACTCTTCACCATCGTCAAGAAGTTTTAGATTTGATATTTTTTCTAGTACCTGTATAAAATTAAATGTTGATTAAAATAGGAATGACTTTCTTTTAAGGCCATCCGAAGGACTTTACGAAAGGGTTTAACTTTTGATATCTTAGTGGTAAATTGGTATACTATCTGTTCTGTGTTTATAATTCTGCATTTCTCGCAGTCTGTTTATGGATTTTATTTGATTCTCAGAACAACGAAAGAAGATTTTTGTTGAAAGAATTTGAAATGCGTGAATTTGTAACGGTGATGTGTGTTTTCGTGAGATACGTATCTCGTTTCTAACTGTTATTTAAACGAGGTTTGTCCTGTACATGCATAATCACTCCGCCAAAAGAGATTTTTAGTATATTCACCCTGAAGATGGCAGCTATAATGCTTGTCAAAACGATCAGTAATTTTCAATATTCGATACGGCTCATTCACGAAAGCAGAAAATTTACACGAGTTAAGCAGTTCTGTGTAAATTGCTAAATTATACCAGAACAGGCAAAGGAGGGATCGGTCTCTAGAGTATGTACGAAAATAAAAACACGCCATTATAATTGAAGATATGTGTCTATTGTACCAAACAAAAGGTGTTTAGCGTAAAGTGGCAATTGTATTTATCTCCCTTCAACAGGCAGATCCATCCTGTATGCGAAGACAGAGCACAGCTGCTCGCGTACGAGAACAAACCGTCGTCGGCAGTAATCCTAGCGACGTCGCCGTCACTACCCCTCGACCCCCCCAGCTACCCTGCACCACCACCTCTACCGACATACCCACTCACCCCCAACATATGCGTCGAGGGAGGACGAATCGAGTTCATCAAAACGCCACCTGATGTCGCTACAGACCGAAAATTTCCACCGACGCCGTCGCCATCTTCGTCGTCATTGTCCTCTCAGCAGGCGCAGACCGTGACGCGTGCGCAACAGACGGTCGCTGAAGACGAGAAGACCGACGTCGCTAAGGTAGGTGGCAGCACTTGACATACCGACCTCTCTGGTTTAGGCGAGATATCACTTTCGGCGAGGAATGTAGGTGACTGTTTTCAGGGATGCTGCGCCTTGTAGTATGCTAGAAGTTGACCGGCGTTTCGGAAGTGCCTACTGCCTCCGTCATCAGGGCGACAATCATCAGATTACACGGCGCAGCATCCCAGAAGACATCTTTCAGACGTAGTCGTTGATTAGTGGTGCAGGTGAATTCTTGAATAATCGTTTTAATACCTTAAATATCTTATGTGTAGTATTTTGTAAGAAGAATTTAGAGGATGTACAATAGCTTAATGAACGCGAATGGTTCTACAGTAATGCAGCATAACTTTGTTATTAATTTACCTTATTTATTTGCTTGTTGTTTATTTAACGACACTGCCAGTAGCTCGGATTGTATAATGTCGGGTGATAGTTGATTAATGGACGAATTGGGAAGGATACGGAAGGATGCGGTCGTGATCTAATTCAAGGACTGGACGAAATGAGGAAAATCACGAAAGAAGTTAGTTGTAAAACCCTGTTTTCTGGCGGAGACTCCAGTCGGTTAACCCGATAATACAAGTCAATAACGCGCTCGGTCGTTGAGGTAGTAGATCGTTGTCTTGCCGAGTTCCTTGTACGTGTTTTAAAATGTGGCTAGTAGAGATGGAATTACAGTAGCATGCACGTAAGTTCTTAAATTTTATATGGAAAACGGAAATGATTCAGTTCCCACGGTTCGTTTTCAATTTTGCGTTGTCAAATAGGTTCGTGTCACCAGTACGTGCTCTAAAATTCGTGAACTTCGGTTCCAAGAACTGGTTCCGTTCGTGGAACATGGCACTGCGTTATACATTTAAAGCCACGAGGTGAAGTGAAGCCTCTCTTGTTTTATGTAACAAGTCCACAGTTTTTGTTCGAAGTAGCAACTAACGAAATTGCTGCTAAAGACTGATGCTGATAATATACCGATTGTCGTAAAAATTACTCTTTAACTTTTTATAATATGGAACAGTTTAATAGCAAAAATAAAATAAAAATGTTATTAAGTTAATATTACAGATTTATGAACAACGTGAGGTTCTGTCACCCCTAGCAAAGATCGCATTTATAAGTTGCTGTCATTATAACTTGGTAACCAGGATTCAACCGCCACGGTGGTCTAGCGGTTAGAACGCTGGCCTTGTAATCCTGGGGTCTCGGGTTCGATTCCCGGCGGTGCCCGAATTTATAACTTGTGTTGGGCAAGGCCGTGGTCTAGGCAACACGGAGTTTTCCTCCGTGGCATCCCAACAATTACTCCATTCACACACAGAAGAAGGCAATGGCAAACCACTTCTGGATCATCTGCCAAGAACGTATATGAACAGGTCCCAGTCCGAGAAAAGGGTGGAAGGATCCTGTTCATATGGACCTGTCGTCAGACAGAACACTAAATAAATAAATAAAAAATAAAAACCAGGATTCTAGAACCAACAAGCGAACATTACAAAATGGCTGTCTTCTGTGATGTTGCGCGATGCAGTCCGGTAGATACTGAAATTTTTTTTCAGGGTATCTTATTGCCTCTGTGACGTCTGTTAATGTCTACCGCTCTGCACGGTGCAACCATTTTCACAGTCGCCTCGAGAATCTCAAATTTGACCAATAAAACGTTATTTATCAAATGAAACCCGTTACTGCTGCACCCTTTCAGATGAATTTTATGTGCATCTCCAGCTGCCTCGCTGCGTCTCTCTCCTTGTGACGAAGTGTCTATTGATTGCCCTTCCCATACTACGACTCTGATTCAGTCCCCATTCTAAGCTGCAATGCATTTTAAATACTCGTCCCCACATTTCTTCCGTCAGTTCATCACTGCAGCCCCATGTTTTGGGGTCAAAATGTGGCATACGTGACCGGAATACTATGTAGGGGAAAATAAAAGCTTCTTGATAGCAGAGAAATTGTTTTTTATGTTGTTATTGAGAAGGAGAGACGAGAATAAATGTATGTGTTAACACGATTTGTGGTAGAAGTGATGAAATTCATTGGGAATTGTCCATTATTTAAGTAAATAAGACAATAAAACGAACTGTCTTTCTTCTCAACGCCCGTGTGTAGGTGTTTACTTACGAAGACCACACTCATCGTCTGAGGCTAGCGTGAAACTGTAAGATACCTTTAAGCCAGTATTTAAACGTTCATTTAATGGCTAATGTACTGCTTTATCCTGTGTGTAGATTAAACATTCTGTCATATTTATTGTCGGATGACGATCGAGTAGGATGAATTAAGTGCACCCTTACTTTATAATCCTGTAGTTGCTTTGCTGCTTAATCACGTACTTCCTGTGAGGTGTTTCAAACTCCATGGACCAGAGTCTTTCGTGAGAACCTATTAGTTGCCCATCTGGGCAAGAAATCCTTATCTTTTTAAGGATCCCGAAGGCTTGTTCCCGTGTTCACAAGAAGCCACTAGCCAGTTGAATCCATTTTATGCCCTCATATGTTATCAATTTTTGTTCCTACGCCATAAACCATCTTCAGAGCTGAATATGGAGACGGGAAGTTTCTACGAAACCCTGGCATCTACCGACGAGTCTAGACGGCGGCAAGACCCGGAAGAACATCATCATCATCATCATCATCAGTGCTGTTAGAACGTCGAACCTCACATGTTAGTGTTTGGGCCTGTATAGTGTTTTTTACCCAAACGTTATGAATAATCTATTAACACGTAAATTAATTAATCCGATTTATGTAATGGTAGAACCGCGCGCAAAGAAGGGAGAGCAGTGGATTAATTAAAGTACAGAGCGGTTTAACTACCACAGAGTGGATTATGCGTTTCCGCCGAACTGTCGTATAAGAAAGAAGAGAGACAGTTGTCCTTGGTAACTAAAGGACTGCGACGTCTCCCAGGGGTGACAATGGATTGAACGTTTATCGTGTGTACTACGTTAATGAAAAAATCTTATAAGGAGGGAGGTTAGTGCAACGGGTATCCAGATTTTAAGTTTGTGTTTCTTGCCTCAATATTATGAATTCGAGGGGGATGAGATGATCGGAGCGTATAGCGCGCGTGGAAGAAATGAGATATGTATACCACATTTTGTTTGGAATGCCTGAAGGAAAGAGACCACTCCAACTCGAAAGATCTAGGCGTAGATGGTAGGATAATAGATTTGCCTTTTATACACGCGAATACCAACAATGTCCATAAAAGAATTTATTTTGCCAAGAAGTAAGCATCGAGATGTCGTATTTTCGAATTAAGTTTCATAAAATTAAAAACAGTTTCTAATTAAATCATAATTCATTGAAAATATCTAACTGCGAAAGAGATAATTACACAAATTAGCAATTAGCACATAAAAATAATAGTAGTAACATCGTTTCCGAAACATAAACGTTTGCTTAAAGTAGCAGGATTAAGGTTATGTGTAGGAGTATAACGTTCATGCACAATGCGAACAGCCCCATTACATTTCACGCAGGTCTGAAATGTTGCTACGTTATCTTCTGTCCCGATGGCGTCGAGAAACGATCTTCTGGTTGAACGGGCAACTTAACTTAACACGACTCCTTTAATCAGAAAACAGAGGATGATGAATACCTGCTGCCTGCTTTTACAATATTGGCCAACCCCAGCACGACTCAGCGTGTTCCACCTGAATAATGTTAAGGCATTTTATTAACTGCAGAGAATTGGTGTTAGGGAGCCAGAGAGAAACAAGAGGCTTCAGGGTGGGATTTAGGTCTCTGTGTAATAGTAGGGAGGATGCTTCGTTTATGGTTATATGATATGCAAATATGCCTTGAGTTTTTAAAGTGTAATTTAGGATCTTTGTCGCGCCTGATGGTATTTTTGAACGTGCTCGGAGCGCCGAGCACTTAACTAACACGCGTACTGTCCCATAACCCCGCTGCCTGACTACCTCCTGCCGTTAAGTACTTGAATTTAAAACGGAAAGGAAATAAAAATGAGATTTCTCAACCCTTAAATTTTTAATGTAATGCTAGAAAAGTTATGATGTGTTAATAACTCAGTACCTCTTATTTTTATCATGCGATTTATTTATCCGGAGGCCGCCATCTTTACTCACAACCCGAGGACGCGACTAAGAAGGACGAAGTGAGCATGTTGCACGAAGAGTTCCTGAGAGATAAGTAATAAAAACAAAATTTAGTGTGGAGAGGTGGAAGGAAGAACCAGTAGGAAGACGTAGGCGTAGATAGGAGTATGATATTAAATTGGAGCTTAGGAAAGCAGGATTTAAGGGTGCGTATCAAATTTATCGTGCTCCAATGGTGGGCTGTTTTGAACATGATCACGAATCTTCGAGTTCCATGCAGATAACATCGGGGCCTCGGAAGTGGACTCAGAAATGGAATGAGACGAAGCAGTGCCTCAGTATGTGAAAACTCTTAATATCCATACGTTTTCTTGGGATTTATCATATTTTAATCATACAGATATATACGAGGTGCGATCGGAAAGTTTAAAGACTGCGCCTATAAAATCCCGTACACTTATCTCAGGTATTAAATTCATCCATCACCCTCGAAGTAGTTCCCCTGGGAGTGAACACAACGATCCCAGCGCCGCTGCCAAGCCTGGAAGCATCCCTGGAAATCTTTCTTTGTCGTAATAGACATTCGGTAAACTCCATGGGCTGAGGAAGAACCAACCATCTTAAGCAAAAGTACATCCGTGCCCTAAGCCGATTCCAACCTACGAAACAATTACTGCAATGGTCAAATATCCAAATCTTCGATGTTGGGTCTACTATCTTGTATCGATATAAGTTACGTATAGTCTACACATGGACTAAAGAAAATACGTCCTAATGCAATCTTTGTTTGGTGGTAAGAATGGTTACTTCTCAAAAATCAGAATTGTACTTGTCGATTGCTGTCTTCTGGACTGTGACCCCGCGTAGTCCTGTAGGCGATTACCAACTGTATTGTGTCAGACCTAAGAAGGCCACAATCGATATATTCACTGAAGTA